GATTTTGCACACACAGATTTTATTTCTTGATGACTGCTTAGCTTCATACAGGGCCTAAGTGACTTTAGGTGGGATAACCAGATCTATTTGCTCTGGAGAAACAGGCAGAAGTCCTCCAAGGAAAGGCAGGGAGACAGATGGCTGGCTATTGTGTTACAGCCATTATCTGCTAGGTCATGAGCAAATATTAAGTGAAAAATATACATGTGATTGGTGTGAAAGCATAGCCCCCACATCGCCAATGCAGAAAGGATGGTAACTTCTGCACATTTGTGTTTCAAAGAATGCTATGCCAACATGTTAGCTATCCAGGGTTAATCCATTTTAAACTGTGGTAAAGTGAACATTTGCCCCCATTTTTGACACTACTGTGCAATATTTTGAATTGAAATGGCCAGTAATGGCCCTTTTTTTTATTTTCCATAACAACACAAGCACGAAATTATAGCTGTGCAATTATGTAAACAATGGAAATGCTTCCAGAAGGAATCCTTCCTTTTAAATTTTCATTTTGTGTAATTGTTGGAAGGTTTAGAGCTGTAATAAACAAAATTATTTTACACATTTATCATTCTAAAGGTCAATTATAAGAGAACTAAAGAAGCAGCCCTGTACAGAATGAGTAAGCCAATTTGTGCTGCCGTCACCATATGTTTTCCGTATCACTCATAGTTTTTCCAGTTACTGTGTACATAGCGTTCAATTAAAGCGATTCATTTGAGGGGCTGAATGTAGTTTGTGTTTATAGAACTGTGCTTTGGAGGAGAGGAAACAACACGCCTCTATTTGAATTACCTGATTTTTTGCAAGATCAGTGATAAGAGACAGATGTTCTCACCAGTCGCTTTCTCATAAGCCTGAACCTTGTGATAAGCTGCAAAGCCACAATTATCATCTTACAGTCTAGCTTTCAAAAGCACTCAACATGGAGCTCCTATTAAAACAGGAGAAAATGCCACTGTGTGTCCTACTCACAGTGTGGCAACAGTTCACAGGGTGGTTTCTTTCCAGCAAAAATAAAATGTATCTGCTCCATCCTAGTCAACTTAAAGAATCAAACCTGAGTCCTGTTCCAGACTCCATTTGCCACTAAGCCTGCTGTTTAGTTTAACTTCCTGTTTAGTCTGTTTAGAATGTACGGGAGGGGGGGGGGGAACAGTTCTTGCATCAGACTCACTTGTTTCAGGTAGGATCTAGAATTCCTCAAAAGGATAAAACTTAAAGAACCTAAAGATCTTGTTCCTGATTTTGCTTCCATTTTTTTTCACCCTCAAGTTATATACACGAACTCTAATTGCTTGCTAAAGAGGTTGTTTTAGGGAACTGGTTGCTGGAGCTTTTTCATGATCAAAGAAACTTGCCTATATTATCTCTGGAATATTTTGAAATACCCTTCCTCTATAGGTCATTAAACATTCATTCAACAAGTTATGTGGACTAAACCTATGAAGTCAGTTCTATGAAATACAAATTCTTCCTTTTTGAAAAACACTGTTTGCTGGCAACACTGTTTACTTCTGCATGGTCTTCGAAAGCCTCCATAAAGCATCTATTCACATCTGCATCCCACTGCCTACTGCTCATTAAGGAGGGACCCTTCCCATCTTAGGAAGAGAGAAACATGCTGTTCCAGGGGCGGCCCATAGTCTCTCTCTAACGAGGCCTTGTTGCCCCGTTTCTAGGATTCTTCATGGTGAGAGTTTGAACACAGGAAAATTTCCCAGCAGGGACTATAGTGGTGGCAGCCTTGAGAGAAGGGATCACACAGTGAGGATAACAGTCTCTTTCCCATCACAATCTGTCCTTATGACATTCTCAGGCCAGGTGGAGGTGGTACAGCCACCATGGTGGGTCCGGTGGCATTGCTAACCACTGTTTTAAAAGAATGGTGCCTGTCTCAAACTAAGAGCTGGTGATTATTTTTTAGCAAGAAATTCAGCATCATTTGCTTGTTATTATTATATTGGTTTTAAGGAGTATATTCTGACAAAGGATGTTTTCCAGTATAATTTTTAAGTTTAAAAAAAAAAAAGTGAGTCATTTTGAAAACACTTACTATGCAAGTCATGCTTTAGGGAGGGTTCTACAAAGGGCATGAGGGCTGCCCCTTGAGTGATGGGTGTATGCTAACTGCCATTCTGTCGTATTGATATATAAAGCCCTGTAGGCTGAGAATAAACTATTAGAATCAGGAAGACTTTGTTTTGTATTTCCAGAGATTGATCCTATTACCTTGAGGTGAAGAAATGGATGGAAGAATGATTTTTCTAGTAGGAGTGAATGGAGCTCATCGTGCATGGCCCTCTGTTGGAAACATGGATGGCAGATGCTCTCCTGAGTACCATGTGGCTATTCCTAATTTTAAAGTGTTATCTCAAAGACAGACCCTTTGGACTGCTCCATTTCAGTGTAGATAAGCAAAGTAAGCCAGCATGTGGCAGTAATTTGGCTGACTGGTCATATGGCCCCCTCTTTAACCCCCACATTAACCCTGCCCCAGTGCTGTCTTTGGTGACTACAGCAGAGACACACTTTCCCTCCAGGCTCTGTCTTATGTGGGTGGCAAGTAGGGTAGGCTTGCCATCTGTTATTGTCCCTCTCTTTCCCATCTCTTTGCCCATAGAAGCAGGTTCAGTTGAAGTCACTGGCCCAGGTCCAAGGCCTGGGTGAGCCCTCTGACTTTATCTCAACTACATGTATATCTGCTGCCTTTTGCACCAGTGACAATTTTGTAGTTTCTTCTGAATGTAGTTCCCCCCCCCCAGGTCTTTATGCATATGTACCAATGAAGCAAGTTTTACAAATTATGGTTTCAGCTTGCTAAAGGATTCAGTTCCCAATTCCTAAAAACCTATTCCTGAAAACCATCTTTAAATCAAAATTTTAAATTCCAGTGGTGAAAATGGCTCATTTGAGTTTAGTGTGTACTAAAGATTAAAAAAAAAAAAAAAAAAAAAAAAAACCATAGGCTTCAGGGTTTTAGCTCCTTGTCTCAACAGATGGAATTAACACAAACATAACAAAGCTAACATCATGGCTGTTTGCATTATTAATCTTCAGATGCATGGCATTCTGCTACCTTGCTAGCCAGGTTTGCACGAATCCTTTCATTGCAGCATATGTCAACAGAAGTGTGCTTCCATCTGCTGCTGGATAGCTTGATGCCTGATATTCTGAGACAAGGCCCCAGCACAATGCATACCTCTGTGAGTAATTACAGGTGTGTGGTGAGGAGCCCAGAGCATTAATCAGAGGCTTAATTATGAAAAAGGTAGATCTTTTGTTCCACTCCTGGAGCCTAAGTCTACCACACACTTTCTAACTAGCAGCATCCATCTGCTCAGCCCAGAGAATGTTTGTCTTGGCTGATAGGCACCCTAAAGTGTATCACAGGACATGATTAAAGCAGGTTTAAATATTAACTGGGAAAAAACCTTGGTTCTGGTTTTCCTTCCATTCCTTCCTTTTATATCTCTATCTACTTTATCCATCTATCTTTCTATCTATCTGCCTATCTATCTATCATCTGTCTGCCTCATCTTTCATCTGTAAATCATGTTTATCTGTTCATTTTTGTGTAAAAACAAAAAGTCCACTGAAATGCCATAAGTTTTAAGTTAAAGTGCTTATCATATGTGAACACTAATATATCAACTATTCTGTAGTCATTTGAAGCATATAGTGTTATTTATATAAATTAAATGAATCCGCTACAAGAAAAGTGTCTTTGGAAAATGTTTTGTGAGCATATGTAAGCTGTGTTTAAGAAGACAAATTGTGAAATGAAGTGAATCTCATGAAGGGCTTAATATATCCTTGGAAATCAGCATGTTGCTATGCTTTGCTCTCATTTAGTAGCTAAGTCAGGACTATTTTGAAGGGCTTATTTAGATAGCCACACTGACAGCTAAGGTTCTTATGTTTTGCTATTTACTTGTTATTGATACTAATGGTTGCATGGTGGTAAATCACACCACTAAAGTACTTTAGTGTGGTAGGTTTGATTTATGTATCTGGCTATAATCTGTGTAAAAGAAGATTGTAGTTTTCATTCTAATCCCACTTGTACATGCACACACTCACACAGATGGCTTTAGAAGGGGGCCTGGCCATGATGGTGTGAACACTGTCCTGTGGTGGATCTGATCCGGCACAGGCGGGAATGAGGGACTCGGGGTTGGGGGCCAGCCAGCCCTCCCCAGGAGTCCATTATGGACACAGGATGGAGAGCTGGCTAGGAGATGCTCCTGATGCCGAGCTCTGGCAAATGGCTGTTGTTGGCTTTGTGTTTGCACCTCCTGCACACATCAGATCTGTGGCAACTGCCTGACCTCTGTGCCTCGTGCATATAAGAGCATGACTTCAGCACTGCCCACACTCCCATTTCTGAGTGCCTGAAACTTCCATCCCTTTGCCTATAAGATTCTCTAATAATGTGCTTTAGCTTCTGGACTGAAACTAAAGATGGAGCTCAATTCTTATTTTATGGGTGTTGGTAGATTTTACTTATATGTCTATCTCAGAAGTCCTGTAGCTTGTCCAAGGAGCCCTTTGTCAGGTGGGATACATACAGGACAGATGTTTAGCAAGCCTCAGTACCACAGGATGGCATTAGATAAGTCATCTTATAATTTGTTGTCTCCATTCTCCTTAACAAGAGATGTGTACAGGAACCATTGGAGTTAGGCACCCTTTGCACTCTTTTGCTTAAAAACCTATCATTATAGCTGAGCCATGGTGGTGCACGCCTTTAATCCCAGCAATTGGAGGCAGAGGCAGGAGGATCTCTGTGAGTTTGTGGCCAGCCTGATCTACAGAGTTAGTTTCGGGCAGTACAGGCTCTAAAACTACACAGAGAAACCCTGTCTGGGGCAGGGGGCGGGGGATCACTATCATTGTGCTGTATTATCTTACGGTGGTCTTGCATGTTGTACACAAAGAAACCACTTGGGAATTTTGTTGTTAAAATTACAGTTGTGTTTCCTTATTTTCCTTTTCAGGATGTTTTAAACACTATCATAAGAAACTGTTCACCCCGTTTTTTCTCCCTGGGTTTGCCTGGTTTCTCAATGCTGGTGGGGGACTTTATCACTGCTGCTGCCAGGGTCCTCAGTGCAGACATGTTGTTGGTGAGTATGACAATGTTCAGCATCACAGCTCCTGGGAGACTTCACAATTGCTAACAAGGCTCAGATTTCTCCACTCTAACAGGTGTTGACTCATTAGTGCAATGTGAAACTGGGCTCTCAGAGTAGATATCCTGGCAGCTGATCTGTGAAATTGTAGGATAAGATGACATACTGTTACTAGAAAGGCGTTTCATCAAAAGGCCAAAGTGTGAGAAATCATATCCCCACTAATATGTCAGCACATTTACACGAAAGGGGGGTCTGTCTTATAGACCCTTATTAGTATTTGCCGGTAAACAGCATTATGGACATAAATGTTATAAAGAGAGAAGTGAAGTGTATGTTCAAAGTAATGTGTTGTTGTTTTGTTACATTTAGTTTGGTTATTGTGAATCTCATAGAAAGAATTAGAAGTCTGTAGTCCTTAAGATCAAATCCAGGGCCTCTTGTATGTTAAACTTGCACTCTGCCACAGAGATATACCCTAGCCCTGAAAATAATCCCTTAAAATATTAGAACACTAATTTTCTTCACCAGTAATGAGAATATATTCATATTAATGTGTGGAAAAACTCTGAGTTGTTCTACTAATTCTCCTACTAAATTAGAAGCAAGTGGGCTACTGAGCGCCAGGGGCCACAGGAGGAAATTACTCCCTCCCTTTTTACCTGCACTCTTCAGTCAGTGTCTCAGGACTGTGAGATGACACTTCCACTTAGGTGTAAAGTGCCTTTCCCACTTGTGCTGTATGTACAAACTATTAATCTAGTCCTCAACCTCTGTAAAGACCATGAGTATTCTGTATTTGCTAGGGATTTATACAAAGTCAGTGTGAGTAGTTGCAATGCTAAATTATGACTGATACATGGTTAATTTTTCACTTTCCATTGGGGGGGATGCTTTAGTACTTATAAAATTGATCATTTGTGGTCCTATTTTATGTCCTAATGTCTTCTTATAAGGCTAAATTAGAAAGTAAAGAGAAAGGAAGAGATAATAAGAAAAGGGAAGAATGAGAAAAGGGAAAAATAGAGGAAGAAAAATGTTGAATTTTTTTTAAAGATGTAGCAACTTTTCTCGATGTGATGTTACTGGATTGGGGGAAATCATCCCCAAAGAACCTTCTTGTTGAGGGTTAACTCGTCAAATTGGCACTGAAAAAAAAAATTACAAGGCATAGGCAAGAGAATCATACTTCGTTAAAATTTTATTACCTGCTATGAGTTTTTTTTTCTGTAGAACATGCTACAGCCCTTTATAGGACAGCACCACACATGGTGGGCCCCCTGTAGACGTGAACCTTTTTTTCTAGGTGAACTATTTAACCTTTCAAACATACATTGGTCAATGGACATATTAAAAAAAAATTCAACATTTAAACAGAAATGAAAAATAAAACCACAAGATAATAATTTCCATCGTTAAGAGTTGCTGGAAAGGGAATCCTTGTATACTCTTGGTAGGAATGTAAATCGGTACAGCCATTGTTGAAAATAGAATGACCTCAAAAGATTAATGTAGGTAGAGTTTTTCATCAAGACCACTGGCTCCCAAATAACCACCTGGATAGCTTAGATTTATTTTTAGCTAGCTCTCATAACTTAACCCATTCTTCTTAATGTATATGTTGCCTGAGGCTTGTTTACGTCATCTATGTACTTCCAATGCTGCTTCTTCCGCATCTGCCTCTTGATCCTCAAACTCTGCCTTTCTTCTTCCCAGAATTCTCTCTGCCACCCAAATCCTACCTAGCTATTTGCCATTTAGTTTTTTTTTTTTATTAAACCAATCACAGTGACATATATTCATTCACACAGTGTAAAGGAATACTCCACAGATTAATAAAGCCATTAAGTGATCTGATAATTCTACTGAGATGTGTGGAAGTACAATCCACATATGAAAAGGTGAGCTGCCTCTCATGCTCACTGCAGCATTATTCCCAGTTAGCAAGTTAGAGTAACAACTTACAGAGTGTATATGTGGATGAACAAATGTGACACATATAGTAGAATATTCTTCAGCCTTAAAAACAGAGAAATATTGTGTGTTTGACAATGTGAGTGGTTCCAGAGGCTACTTTGCCCGGGAAATAAGCCAGACATGGCCCTGCATCATCTCTGTGATAGGTGAACTCTTAAAAACCAAATGAACAGAAACAAAGAGTAGTCTGGTGTTTGCTAAAGGCTGGGGAGTAAATAGGGTAATGTGTTACGGGCAAGTTTTCCCGCCGGCCTGGTCCCACAGCCTTGCCAGCCCCAAATAACACACAGAGCCTCTGTATTAGTTATAAATCTGTTGGCCAGTTACTAGTTTCTTATCGGCTAGCTCTGTCTTAAATATTAACCCATTTCTATTAACCTAAGTATTTCCACGTGGTCTCATCTTACCAGAGAGAAGATCTGGTGTCTTACTTTCTTGGTCCTACATATTAAATCTACTCATTTGTTCTCCCTGAATTCTCCTTGTCTCCTAGTCCTGCCTATCTTGCTTTTCTATTGGCCAACATTGCTTTATTCATTAGCCAATAAGAAAAACATATTTACAGGATGACATCTCCCATCAATATTGGTCAATGTAGAAAGTTTTGGTAAGTTTTTGAAATCTTCTGTACAAAGTGATAATCATAGTTAAAAATATTGTATTGTAAACTTGAAATTCATCAAGAGAGTGTTCCTCCATGAAAAACAACATCTATTTGAGATGATAGATGGGTTAATTAAGCTTAATTGTAGTTTTAATTTTACAGTGTGTACACTTTTAACTATTTACACAAACATCCATGTGTTGTACCTTCTTAAATCAGTGTTTCTCAACCTTCCTAATGCTGTGACCCTTGTAATACAGTTCCTCATGTTGTGGTGACCCCCCCCCACCATAAAATTATTCTGTTGCTGCTTCATAACTGTAATTTGCTACTGTTATAAATTATAATGTAGATATTTGTTTGATATGCACCCCCCCAAAAAGGGTCACAACCCACAGATTGAGAACCAACCACTGCCTTAAATATAATTTTATCTGTCATACCTCAGCGATGAAGAAAAAATAGCTTTCCCAAATGGTGTTTTAAACAGAGAGAATATGAATATAATGGTTATATGAAGGAGAGAATGATTCTTTGAATTACATTCCTGTGTAAATGTGAGGTTTAAAGCTGTGCACCTGATGAGAGGTGTTTGAATGGAACACACCTGCTCAGCCAGAGTTTTTAGGTATTGCAGTTAATTGGGGATGTGAGGGATCCCTTCTTGGCCAGGCAACTAGGGAGAGAAAGAAGTGTGTGCACAGGAACAGATCACGAAAGAAATCTGGAAGCTTCCACACAGCAGCCATATTTAACAGCCAAAGCTAGAACCAATCCAAATATCCACTGGCAACAGAACAAAAACCATGGCTTGCACATACCATGGAGTACTGTATAGCAGATCACAGCAGGGAGCCCCAGATTTAGATCGTTCTTTGGTTGAATATGGATCTGTGAGGGAAGAGAACAAGAACTATAGCCAGTACCCCAAAGTTAGGTGGTAAGGAAATGGGCAGTTCCAGCAAGGGAGGCTGTCAGTCTCTTTAGAAGGGGTCCCAGACACTCTGTGATAAAAATGTTCATACTGCAAGGGAGCTGTGAGCAGTATCAGATACCTCTGAGTTCAGACAAGATTGAGACTGGAGGTGTCCACTGGGTGTGTACCATGGAGGTCATTAGCCAGAGTACTCACCACACCTGACTTTAGCAAACTTTCACAGTTCACAGTAGCCACTACAAACATTCATATTTAAAAACTAAGCAAAGCATGCATTAGTGACTTTATCCCTGATGCCATGGCTCCATCCCCAACTGCCATCACTCTTCTCCCCGGCTCTCCTTGGATGGCTACCTCCAACGCTCCTCCTTCTGAATGCCCTTGCTTTTTACTCGAAAAATGTTAGGCCATTCTTATTCTCTCTGCTCTGTCTAGATCACAAACTCTGAAATGATTTTAAACAGCCGTGACAGAGCCATTTGCCTTTCTAATTATGAATTGGTCTGTAGACTGGTTTTCATAACACTTGTTTACATCAAATGTTGAGATGTTTTCCATTCCCTGGCAATTTGCCTTTTCATTTAGAAAAAAACTCCCTTGCCTAAACATCCACCAGAAAAATAACCCTAAATAGTTTAGTGCTTCGTACCTAGAAGGAAAAACAGATTCCCTCTCAAAACCAGAACAAAGAGTAAAACATGTTCTTCAAGCTTGCAGCTTATGTAAAGAAACTTGGTGTTTCCCTCCTCGTGTGCAGGTGCCCCGTCCAGAAGCTCTCACTCTCCTCGGTTCCCTTGTCTGTTTCCCAAATACCTACCGGAAGATCCCTCTGTTGCAGTCAGTGCCAGAAATGAGTGAGGTCATCACAGGAACTGAAGATGTCAAGGTACATAACTGAATGTTGAGTTTAGCATCTTCGGCTGGAGTTACATCACTGTGTCTTCCATTCTATGCACTGATCTACTTTCCCCTGACATTTGCTGTATCTCTTGAAAGCTTCAGTAGTTGTTTTCAGAAGTGAGTTGTATGAACTGTGAATATATCACATTCACAGCATATTGCAGTTAGACCTGATAGCTCTGTTCCTCTGGTGTTTTGTTTTGTTTTTTTTTTAATTTCTGTTTATTGTTCCTAGGGACCTTAATTATATAATGAATCATCATTTGTAATAATTCTGTTAGCTTAGTTATGCTGCATTAGTGTGGCAAATGAATTTATAAGAAATAATTCCAATAAGCTAAATATTCAATCCCATTGCTGGCCTGATTAAATGCTACTAATAACCTGAAATTCCAAATTATTTCTTGGGGAATAAAAGTAAGCATTTTTCTTTCTGTCCTCAGCTGACATTTGAAGCAAACAGAAAGTCCCAGCACCAGTCAGTCAATCTGTAACTCTGATTATAATCTGTAATTTAATGTGCAGTATGTAATCCAATCAAAATAAAATGGAGATTTTCCTATCTGGAAGTCTCTCTCAGATGCTTTGCTTGATTTCCACTGGATCCCTAGAAATGCTGTGCTGCAGGTTGGCTCTGTTACCCAGGGAGGCACTTGCTGAGGCGAGCCAAGTTCTTTCTGAAGGAAGGGCTCCCCAACTCCCTGGCCTTTTGCTAGCTCCAGGGTGCCTGTGACATGGTCGGCACATGCGGGAAAGCAACAATGACATCAAATTTTCATTTACTGAATTTTGTGTTTTTAGCATTACCTCATAAATATTTTACTGAAGAATGCTACCGAGGAACCAAATGAATGTGCAAGGTAAATGATGAACAAGAGGTAAACTATGATAGAATTTTTTAAGATGCACATTTATGTATAAATAGTTAATGTTTAAAAACAAATCCTTTCCATTTCTCCTACCCGCAGTGAAATGTGTAGTAAGCATTTTGTCAGAAAGATGCTCTGCTTAGCTACTTACAATGTCATTATTACTTGAGAGAAGAGTAAGATGCAGAGTGAGATGGAGAACACTGTCCTACATAAGGAAATGCAAGATTAGAAATAAATGATGTCTTCAGAAAATGGAGGGATGAAGCAACAGTTCATAAAAGCTGTATGTTTCAGGCAGAGACTCTGAACTAATTTGGCAATGTGTAGAAACATTTGGGTGTTTCTGCCAAGCATCTAAGACTGCTACAGTTTGTGACCAAGATACGCTTTCTAGGTCAACTTTGTGGTAAGAAATCCCTCCCTCTCCGCTCAAGTTGTAGACAAAGCTGGAAGAGCAGCCATCTCTCATTCAATTTCCAACCTTGCTAAGGCCTCTTCAGCCTCTGACAGCTTCATGGCAATTAACATATGTCCTGGCCCTTAGGTACACAGGAAAACAGAGGCCCTAACTTTACTGTCTTGTGAACTCTCCTGATTTAAAGTTTATTAGCTTTTGTATTTTTCTGAACTCCACTTCATTAGATGGATTAGTCCAGTTTTTCTGCCATTTTCAGAAGCTATATGGGCATTACCAGTTTGCTAACATTGAACTAAACTTGGGTATGACATACCATCACCTTGATTTATAGATTCTGGTTTAGGTAGTATTTTGTTCAGGAAGTTACATCCTAAGTCTGTAATTTTCTATTCCTATCATGCCCTCACCCAGTTTGGGTGTTAGGCAAAGGAGCCACAAAACAAGTAACATGTTCTTTCTTCTCCACACTCAGAATGTCTTTTGCAGCAGTAGGATTATTATCCTTGTTTATTAGCAGATCTCACTAGCATAAATGTCCAAGAATTTGTCCATTTCATTTTTGCTGTTAAGTATTTTGTATTTTCTCTGGTTGTAAGGCTAGTCTTATTAGATTTGTCATCTTTGCTTACCTCTCTATATTTGTTTTTATTTATTTTCAGCTTTGGGCTCTTCTATACTCTTTTACTTGTGGTGTTATTCTTTTATTGTTTTTTAAAGATGCATACTTGATGTATTTTTAACTTTTCTCCTTTAACATTTAAGACTAAATGCTTATTATTAGGGGCTACCTTTTCCAAACCTTGCAAGTTTTAATACACACAGTATTTTAAAATTCCATTTTTTTCCTACTTTGCATTATGATTCCTTCCTGGGATCATGAGGGGTTTTTTTTATTAATTTCCAAATATATGGTTATTTCTATCTTTAAAACATTTTTAGACATCTATCTTTTAAATTTTTATATGATTTAGTGTTTTGCCTAGAACTAGAGTTAAGCATGGATGTGAGCTACCATGTGGGTTCTAGAAACTGAATGCTAGTCCTTTGCAAGAGCAACAAGTGCTGTTAACCACTGTGCATCTCCACCCTCTTCTGTCTTTTTTTGTCTCAAGTAATTATAGTATAGATCAAAATGTGTGCTTGATAACTGTTGTTGAAACTTGCTTTGGGACCCCACGGCTAGTCAGTTTTAGCAGATGTTCCGTATATTCTTGAATGTACATAGGGGCTAGAGAGATAGCTTGGTGGTTAAGAGTACTTGCTGTTCTTACAGAGGACTCGGATTTGGATCCTCAGCACCCACATAGGAGCTCACAATCATCTGTAACTCCAGTCCTGGGTGACCCAGTGCCATTTCCTAGCCTTCTTCGGCACTACAAATATACATGCAGCCAAAATATCTGTAAATATAAAATAAAAAAGGAAAATACTGTAATTTAAAGGAGAAAGAAGAAAATGCACATACTGTTCTTTAATCGTGAAGTATATTGTTCTAGATGTAACCTTACAGTGTTTCACGTATTCTGAATTCCTTCTGGAGTTTGTTTTGTTTTTATTAATTTGATCATTTACTGAAAGGTATGTTAAAAACTTTCCACTGTTGAGCCTTAATCTGTTTCCTGGAATTTCTGTCAAAGGCTATAATGTTATTAGTTGCATAGGCATTTGGAATTGTCCTATCTCTGTAATGAGTCAAATGTATTTATTTGTATATGGTCCTTTCTATTTCTATGGGTAGTTTGTTTTATTTTAGAGATCACTTTACCTGCTCCTGATTTCATACTATATAATACATTTTATTTTTTCAAAATAACTTTTCTGTATTGTTTTACAATGCCTTTCCAAAAGCTGTATGTATCTGGATTTTATGATTGTATAAATTTGTGTGATCTTCGTCTTTTAATAGAAACTTTATTTAGTTCATTTGTATTTGTTATTACCAATGATTTTTTGGGTGTGTTTTTTCATCTTATTTAATATTTTATTTTTAATTGAAACCCCTAAGCATTACTACCCTTTTTCCCACCTCTTTATCTATACTTTTTTATTATTATCATTATCGGCTTGATTTCCATTCAGTTCTCATAAAGTTCGTTCTAGAGATTTTACTATGATTTTTAAAAGTCTGGAAGTTGGTCTGTCTTTACCCACTTCTAAACAATGCCTGTTCTCTACAACGGAACCTGCTTTCCTCTGGCTGTTGCTCCTTTCCTGATCCCTGTGCTAATATCCCTTCTCTGCCTAACTTCTGCATATTAAAATGACCCAGTGACTGGGTCTGGGCCTAGCCTTTCCCTGTGACTTCCTGCATGTCTCACACATTCTAGTCAGTATAGAAATGCTTGTTGACCATTTCCAATTTATTTACCTTGTCTTTTCACGAATTTCTTGCATAGCCAGACTTAGATATTGAATTGCATACTTAATACCTCAAGTCAGCTGTCTTAACATGCAAGTGTAACACAGCCATAACTGAATCTTCTAGTGCCTTCTGACATCCCCTAGCCTATTAAGCCTGATGTCCTTCAAATGTCATCTCAAAAAACGAAAATATTTACTCAGGCTTTCAACTCAGAGTCTTGTGGAATATATCTGATTTTTTTTTTTTAAATTTTCTCATGCCAATCAAACCATCTTTGTAATTCCTTTCCCCTAATTTTTTTTTTTTTTTTTTAATGTATGGAAGGAAAGTCACATTTCTTGAAGAGTAGCTTATAGTAACATGGTGTTCAGAAGAAATAACATTAAAATGTGTTTATTTTGAAAGCTACTTTAAAATCAAATATAGTGTTTGTCTTACATTTGAAGTATAGGGTACACTTTGTAAGGGAATTTTCAATAATCTAACATCCATGACTTTTGTTTCTCCTCAAAATTATCTTAACAATAAAATGTAGTAACGGTTCAGAGTCAATTAAAATCGATGACATGGATTGTGGTAGTTAACAGAAAGTCTTCCACTTGTTTCATGAAATATTCAAGTACTAATTAGCATTGGTGATTCTGTTTATCCTGAAAATTGGCCCACTGGAAGTTCTCTACCTTTTCTCTCGAGGAAACTATTCTGTTAGTATACCTATAATTGTTGTTTCTTTGAATAAATAGATTTATTTTGTCATTTTAAAATATATTGAATTTCATGAGTTCTTTCCTCCCTTTGCTTCTCTTTTGAAAGATGCATTGCCATTTGCTCCCTCGGGATCTGGATCTGTGAAGAGCTTACACAGTGTGCCAGCCATCCTCAGGTGAAGGATGCCATCAATGTGATAGGTGTAACTCTGAAGGTATTCCCATTTTTTAATGCCTTTTTGACATTAAGCTTTCTCCCAGTATTTTAGCCAGTTTTAGTTTTAATTAGTCCAGTTTCACAGCTCCCTACATTATAGAGAGACAGTGCTTTAAAAGTCCCATTCTAAGGGCCATGGTAAATATTCTGTGAGGCTGCCAGCAGCTATTGGCAGCCGTTCTTAGATCATTTATAGTCTGTTTGTGGACCAAGCCTGGGCCATTTAGGGCTCTTCTGGTGGCTGGCCATCTTTGCATATAAGAAAGTGAGGTTTCAAGCCGAGACCTGTTTGGCATGACTGAGATAGGAGCCTGCAGCTTCCCCTTGGGAGTCTGGGTGTTCACCTGCTGCCTGGATGATGGCATTTGGGGGCTTCTTCCTTCTTTGCTTTGCTATTGAGAGATGTGCAGTTTGTTGAGCATCACATGAAACTAGAATATTGGTAATCTCTTGATACTTTTTATAGTTTTTGTGATAGCTCCTCAAGGTGAGCACCACAGTCTGTATTTTACCCCAGAAGAAATCAAGTCCCAGAGGAATCCACACACAAGTCTAAGGCAATACAGACTTGAGTGATAGAGCCAGCATGGAAAGTAGATATGTGTGGCATAAAAGACATAATTGAACTTCACTTGTGCAGTTAGGCTGTTTCCTAAAGCAGAGCTTGCATCCCGCCCTTCTTGGTTCCTTTGCTGAAACAGTAGACATAATTAGCACTGTTACTATTAAATTTGCAGAACCAGTGAGTCTCTGTCAGGCGCTGTGCCGAGGGCATTGTGAAAGTTCTTAGTGGCAAGGGAAGTGTTCCCATTTTACCAGAGAAGAAGTGAACTGATAGCAGGAGATGGAAGGAGCTTATTCAGGCTGTAGGAGGATTCAGCTGAATCTGAACTGAAACTCCAAACCATCTGTCCAGTCCCTTCATCCATTTTTTGAAGTTGTCATAGTAACTGTGATCACAGCAGATTTTGGGCAGTTGTCTTTAGACCAGTGGCCTCCCTGTTTGCCCTTTGTGTATTGTCTTCCTTGGGACCCACAGTGTTCTTCATCCTTGGAATGGGACACTATGGATGGTCTGGCCCCTGACTGACCAAGCTCAATACCTCTTGTTCCCCACTTGTATCCTCTACTCCCCATCACCTCATCGTCTAGCCCTCCTGTATAACACCTGGTTGTACCTTAGGAGCTGTCAGGTACCTACCACTGATCCCCTGAAGAATAATGGAAGAATTTGTAAACAGTAATGCCACATGGTACAGTTTCCTCTGGCCTGGCCCTTCCCATCATATTTAATACTGAGAACTATCGCAGGAGTTGAAGTGATACTGCTACCTATACTTAACAGATGAGGGAAATGGACTGACTGAGAGCCTTGGCAGGTCCAACCAGGATGCTTTGGCCTCATGCCTAGGGTTTTATATAACTTCAGTGTGCAGGATTCTGACTTCCAAACCACAGAGGGAAAAATACTGGATATAAGTTGTTGATTTCTATGGGTCTCAACTAATTTTTAAATCCCATTTTCTCAATTGTAAGATGTTTTTCTTTTCAGAAATCTAAAAGTACACATTTAAATTAGTTCCCTAGCTCTATCCTTTACTTGAGAACACTGTTAATAATTTGATGGTATCTTAGACATGAATAGCTTCCTATATAGTATAGAATAGAGATAGAAATTGATAATAATTTGGGGCTAGAAAGATGGCTCATTGGTTAAGAGCACTGACTGTTCTTGCAGAATACCCAGGTTCAGTTCCCAGCACCCACAGTTTGCAACTGTCTGTAACCCTGGTTCTTGGGAATTTGTGACCTTATTCTGGCCTCCTAGGACAGCCAGCATGCACATGGTGCTGGTATACATGCAGACAAACACCCATACATATTAAATAAATTATTTACCTTAGAGGGGTTGATAATAGTAGAGGAATACAATCACAGGTAACAGATTTTCTTCTTTGAATGTTTTTGGATTCTCAAAACCTGCAATTTTTCTGTAATTATGAGGGAAAACATAAGGTACCAGGGAAAAAATACAATTATACAGTTTGCCTTTGCCCTGTCAAAGTGTCCATCATAGTGCCAGGTTGTCCCATTGTCTGTGTATAGATCTAACCACTCTGGCCCACAAGACAGACACCAGCCTTCTCCATAACAGCTCCTGTTCCTAGAAAGCACAAGCTATACTCACCTGTACTTACCTGCTGTACTCATCGTATGCCTTTAGCTCTCTGCCTTTAATTCAGCGTTGGCACGTTGTCAGTCTCTCACTGTGTTAGGTGGGTGGGTGGGTGAGTGAGTGAGTGAGTGAGTGAGTGAGTGAGTGAGTGAGTGAGTGAGAAAGAGTGAGGGATTTCTTTTATCCCTACCACCCTTCATCTCTCTCACTATGTATGCATATGCTACTCCATTGGCAGTCCCCATCTCAGGATCCTTAGCTGCTTCAGAGCCTCTGCTTTTAGGGCACACATACATTGGTGCTCACCTAGAGGGACACCCAATTCTCTAACTGTATCCTTCCAAACACAGCTCAGCCCTCCACCCTACCACTTGCTCTCTTTCCCATCTCTCCTCATTCTTCCCTAGCTTTGTCTTGTCTCCCATAGCTCTTGTTACTTTCCCCTTGTTTGTTTCCAGCTTCTTCAGAACCTTGTTAGCACCCATTCATTCTTCCACTTCCTGTTGAACATGACATATACACCCCACTGTTAGCCCTGCCAACAGTGATAATAATATAAGAACACAGTAAAATACATTACAATCTCCTGTAAAACTGTGGAGGAAATGAAACAGGATAGGATAAAACTGAAGAATAGGAAGGTGTGGACTGCTTCATAGAGATGCTGAAATTTTGTGTGAGGACTTGAACATATAATAGTGCCTGGTACACTAGACCTGGGAACTAAAAATTTGAAGCAAAGCCAGGAGCAAGTACAAAAGACCTAGGACAGAAACACCCAGGGTGCTTGAGGGGTGGGAGGAGGCCAAGTCATCTGGAGTCTAGATGAGGAGGAAGGCTGTGAAGAACCCCTGAATGCTCATGTGATTTAGATTAAGCAGAACAGGCCACCATCAAGCCATGTGCTGTCCATAATAAGGTGTGGATAGCACTGTAGCCTCTAGGTTCTGGCCAATGCTGGAAGCACAGGGAGTCCTCGTCCCATTCAAAGGCTTTGCACATGTTACCTCTGTGACATCCACCTCACAAAATAAACAAAAATAACAAATAAATAAGCAGATAGATAGATGGATGGATAGGTAGGTAGGCAGGCAGGCAGACAGACAGACAGACAGACAGAGTGTCCAGGAGACTTGTGTCTTCAGGCAGTGTCTTAGTTACTTTTCCATTTTTATAAAGAGACGCCATACTGAACGCACCTTATAGAAGAAAGAGTTTATTGGGGTTTACAGGTTCAGAGGGTTAGAGGCCATGGCCATCATGGCAGGGAGCAATACGGCAGGCAGGCATGCCACTGGAGCAGTAGCTGGGAGCTCACATCTTGAGACAGCAGCCATGAGGTAGAGGAAGATCTAATTGGGAGTGGCTTGGGGTTTTGAAACCTCACTCCCAGTGACAGACCTTTTCCAAGGACACACTTCCTAATCCTTCCCAAACAGTCCACCTACTGGGGACCAAGTATTCAAACATACAATCCTGTGGAGGCTGTTCTCACTCATACTGCCATTTCCACTACCTGGCCCCCATATGCTTGTGGCCATATCACAATGCAAACTGCATTCAATCCAACTCCAAAAGTCCCCATGGTCTTTCACTGTCTCAGTACAGTTTAAAAGGTTAAAATTCAGTCTCTTCTGAGACTCAAGGCAATCTCTTAATTGTAACCCTTGTAAATTATAAAAGCAAATGTAATACTTCCAACATACAATGGCACAGAAAATACATTTACTATTCCAAAGGGGGGGGGGGTACAAATCAGGGCATAGTAAGGAAATAACAGAATACTGAAATCCAGGAGAGCAAACTCCAAATCCTGTAGCTCTATGTGAAAGTATTAAATGGCTCTGGCTTTCCAGTTTTACTGACAAGCATATATTAGACTATGAGGGCCATTCTCATTTAAGCTGCCACAGACAATTTTGGGAAATGCATCCAGAGTCATTGAACACACCCATGTCCTAAAGTCTGCTTTTACACATTTCTTAATATGTTACATATGTGTTATTTTATTTCCTTAGTTAGGAAGTCATTTGAGTAATCCCTGTTTCTCTATGTGTGAAATGAAGATAGCATCTTCCTTACAGAACTGTCAGTGATAATTTGTCAATGACAGAATGTGTTACATCTGTGCAGAAGGTTCAGCACACAGAGGACACTCAACTATATACTCTTTTTAAATTTCCTCAAGTTCACAGTAGGATGATTTATATTAGCTGAATACAGAACTTTAAACCTGGGCTTCTAATTTCTGGACAAATGATGGCCACCTTTTTCTACAAATATATAAATTAATGTAGGTAATTCCAAACAATCAGCAGTGTAGAATGATGGAGTGGTCATGTGCAAACGATGTTAATTGGACATAGTTTTCACCTATTGTACATGAGATATGTGTGTAGAACTGGGAAGAGCAAACAGCCCTTTTCTTCCTCCAGAACATACACCTGCTGAGCTGCTCTGTTTACGTGGGGGTTTTGGTTCCTTTTGTAGTTTCCTAACAAGATCGTGGCTCAGGTAGCCTGTGATGTTCTTCAGCTGCTGGTTTCCTACTGGGAAAAGCTTCAGATGTTTGAAACTGCTCTACCGCGAAAAATGGCAGAAGTAAGTCCTTTATCTACGATGCTAAAGCATCCGCATTCCCTTCTTACTAATGTATTTGATATCTAATTAACTGTAGATCCTCAAATAATTGTTAGAGAAGCAACTATTAAACTGCCATGTGAGCCCTGTTTTCAGGCAGTGTTGGCTGGCTCTTCTCAGCTGCAATTCTAGGCACTGTGCAAAGAAGCCTGCAGTGTTCCAGGGCAGAGGCTGATGCTTGGAGAGTTTGAAAGGCAGACACAACCACAACAAAGAGACCTTTTGTAGGTTGTTGGGCTTTATTCACTGAGAGTAATTTGGATGGTGCCAACAAGGAGTAGGCAGCTGGTTTAATGCCTTCCTTGCAGGGCGGGGGCCTGGCTGTTGTGTAAAGCAGTTGTTCCCAGACTAAAGCCCTGGGCCACACTTGCTGCTATGGCACAGTTACTCAGCAGTAATGAGATCAGTGCAGTATTAACCTCTGAGAGAGAGGTGGCCAGGAGAGGAGGCAGGAAGAACAGGAAGTACTCAACCTCAGCTTCTCGGAGGTCTGCTGCAGCCAAGAGGTCTTTGCTCAGAGTGGAGTAGGGACTAGCTCACAGGGACCTGCACACCTGTTCCTGGCAGTTTTTGTAACTGCATTTCATCAAGCAAGCCCTGTTCCTTACCCATCCAGTGAAGACTGAGAAAATTTGATTGTCCCCGTGACAGGTGACATGGAGAGAGAAGGAGTGATGCAGATTCATTTGCTCCCAGCCCTAAATGGACTTCATTGGTTGAGATCACTTTGTTCTCTCAGAATCACATCAGGAGTCAAAAGTCGTTTTTGACCTGAAGTGACCTGGAGTGAAATAGACCTTTCACTCTCCTTCAGAATGTAAAGTTGGGTTTAGTGTCACTGTGTAATTACCCAGACAGGATGCCTATGAGAGGGCATTAATGCTGTGATGTGGGGACAGGAGGTGGAAACCTGCGCTAATTTGTAACAGTAAATTATTTTTGGAAACTTTTTTCCCACTTTACTGGAAATAGAGGACTAATAGTAGATATTATGTGACTATAGAAAGAATTATTTCTTACCATGAGGTCCCAGCAAAGAAGTAGAAACCATTACATGATCGTTATTTTTAAATCTACTACTGTTCCTCAGTGTTCTATCAGCATCCAATGAGTAGGTACCAAGCTGTGTTTAGTTGCAAGGTCATCTTGGGATTCTTAGCATACAGCTTCCAAAGTATCATGGTCTGCTTGATTGGGTTTTATCTTTTATGCAGATCCTCGTGGCCACAATTGCATTTCTTTTACCAAGTGCAGAGTACTCCTCAGTGGAAACAGATAAAAAGGTAAGTGACATGGTTGGTAGCTTTCCCCACAGTAATTTTTAAGTATAAGACAGAAATGGTAACCAATATTACTGATGATGGTTTCATTTATTACATCTTTACATGTTGCCTTTAACATTCTTTCTTATGAAAACCATTTTTGTTTACATACTTACCCTGCATTTATGTGTCCACTGCATATTGAGCAGGAACAATTCTGTTTATTTTTACATGCAGTGGGTCCTAAGGGCTATAGAATGAGATTCTGGATATGTTTCTCCTTCTAGTTTATTGTGTCCTTGCTCCTCTGCCTCTTGGACTGGTGCATGGCACTGCCTGTGAATGCCCTTCTCCACCCTGTGTCCACGGCGGTCCTGGAGGAGCTGCACCCACCCCGGGCTCCCTTGCTGGATTATATCTACAGGGTGAGTCTCCTCTAAGTCTTGGGCTAGACAGTGAACCTTCGGATTAAAACTCACCAAAATGTTGTACATTTTTGTATTTGTGCCTTCTGAAAAAGACCTGTGGAAGGGTAAGTATTTGCAAAGAAATGAATAATTAATGAACAAGCAGAACACATACAGTTGTAGAAAGCCAGTAGTTGCCAAGGTGAAGATACATACAGTTCACATGACTGTCATCTTTAAACATCTGCTATTTAATCGGAATGCCCCCAATCTTCAAGGCATATGATCTCTGCCTACTTAATTTCAAAATGGACTGTTTATATCATAGGAAGGTCTGCAGCACCCAAAGATCTGTTTGTAGCAAAGAAAATAAAAAGCCCATAAGTAATCTCAGCCTTAAACCTCAAGAGGAAGGTGAGGTGGTACATGCTTGTAATCCCAGTGCTTGGAAGCATGGGAGCAAGAGGATTGCACTGAGTTCAAGGCAGCCTAGGTTACATAATGTAACCCTGTCTCAAAACCAGAGCCAAAACAAAACTAAAAGAACGTGAAAAGAAAAAATCCTTAGGATAAGGAGTTAAAAAATCTTAACTTATAAGAAGTGAGAGACTCTAAATCTGTTTTTAATTTACTTTATTTATGCTTTCAAAACCATATTAAATTATCCCTTATAATTTGTGAGTTTACTGATTTAATCTCAGGTTGTGGTCACCCTGCCCTCTACTATGAGAGCTTTCCCACAGCCATCTTTCATCTCTTGGGCTGGTTCCTTCTACCTGTGTTGCCTTTGGAGGATGATGGATTGAGGTGTGTTCAATCACACAAGAACAGAAACCTTTTCACTTATGTTCCGTTTGGCCTGAGAATGTAGGTATTGCTACTGATTTGCTTGTAGTAGAAAGATATTTAAGAATGGGAACAACCCCACATTTTGTCATGTTCCTAAGTGGGAGTCCTGTCTCCCCAGCACTGTGGGGACTGGACAGTTTGTCAGGGGTCAGGAGGTGGTGACATACTAAGTGCCATTCCTGTCTGTCCTCAGGTTCTGCACTGTTGTGTCTGTGGCTCAAGCACATACACACAACAAAGTCACTACACTCTGACCTTGGCTGACTTGTCATCCACGGATTATGACCCCTTCCTGCCTCTGGCAAATGTGAGAAACTCGGAGCCGGTCCAGTACCATTCATCAGCAGACCTGGGGAACCTGCTGACTGTGGAAGAGGGTGTGTATGTCTACAAATATACAGTCTTATGGGCAGGAAGAAGTCTTGTTCATGCTTGTGTTTTGGGTTTGTTTTGAATCTACTTGTTGAAGTCCCAGTTTATAGGGTCTCTGATGGCAAACTGCCTTCCCTATTTCTTCCTCTTTATTCCTGTTATTTTTTTTCCTCCTTTTTTCCCATCTTAAATTATTCACATGCTTTTGTATTACTGAAAATCTCTTGTCTCATACCCATAGAATGCAAAAGAGGGGGGCTCCTTTTTCTATCCTCAAGAAGTTTTATATCTGGTGGGAGAGATAGGACAATACTGGGCTGGTAGCATCCTCAGGATGTCCCATAGGGAAGAATTAAGCTAGACACAGCAAGGAGGGTAGGCTTTAAAGGAGCTCATAGAGGATTCCAGAACAGAAACCCCTCATGAAGAAAGCTGGGAGCTTACTTGCCCCCACTTGGGATGTGTTCCTGCTGCAGACAAGTCTACAGAGCTTGTTAGGACTTGGCTTTTTTGTTTCTTCCTTAGTCACTGCTCCAAATAGGAAGCACCCAATCTAAGCCTTGGGATATGATTCTGCAAAGTGAGTGGGTAACTGTAAGTGTGGCAAATTTTCATGAAACTAAGCACGTATAAATGTTTAAAACTGGTATATACCAATTTATTAATGGGTTATATTAATGTCCCTTTCCTGGTTGTGGTATTGGGCTGTATATCTAAGATGTTACCCCTGAGATAAAGGGTAGTTAAGATCTCTTTTATTTCTTATTACTGTATATGAATCTTCCACTGACTCAATTAACAGTTTGCAAATGTGACTACAGAGTAGTACACCATCGCCCAGGGAAATCACATGAACCTTTTCAGTTTGAAAGCTAGGACCAAAAATGGAATTCATGGCAATGTATCCTTAAAGGAGAAACAATGAAGGCTATCACCATGTCAGTAAAGTCAGGGACATAGGAAAGGACCAACTTAGAGTCATTGGAGGTCACTCCTAGTCATGCAGGTCAGAGAATGAGTGGCACAGAAGCAGTTAGCAGTGCTGGGTGCCTCAAGAAGCCCAGGGAGGCAGAGAGCAGAAAAGGAGCTGTGTTTGCAAGGGAGTGTTTAGATATGGACTTTACCAGAATACTTAGTCCAGATTAGCTAGATAGCATGAGTTGGTGACCACTCAGACCTGTGGCAGACCCCTCTCGTGGGCCTTCGGTGAAGAGGGAATAGACGCAGCAGGCTGTGATCAGGTGGAAGTACAGAGTATATATGGTACACCCTAAAATAGGTTCACCCCTTTGTGTTGACTTACTTAGGCCATTACCTATTCTGGATACAATTGCTACTTTTAAATAAAGTTATAATCAAGATACATAGTCAAGCCATCTGTGAGTACATGTGCTCAGACTGATCATTGTTAATAACTACTTAAAGTAGAAGGGAGGGCTTCAGGAGGTGAGAGGTAAAGCTTTGCATTTCCTCTAGGAATTTAGGGACAAGATAATACATGGAATCTTCTCCTTTTTAATAGTTTGTAGAAGTTTAATAGTTTGTAGAGCTGGTTCTGTCATTAGTTGAGTCCAGATCATCTCTGGTTCTCGGGGAATGTATTGGAAGTAGACTTAGCTGAAATGTGGCAGCAGAAGGGGTCAGTGGTTCACAAATGCTCCTTTTCCTGACTCCAGTACCAGACCTACTTGGGATTTTATTAGAAGTGTCATCGTGTCATAGTGTGTTATGACTCCAAGTCATTCTCTTGTTGTAGAATTCAAATATTCACAAAATATAAACCAAAAGCACAACCTCTGTGAGCAAAAGTAGAGGGAAGTTGGTTTTCCAACTGGTATTTTCTGCCTTGGCCCTTTGTTGTATTGTACTTTTATCGTTAGTTTTATGCCTGCCCTGCTGTCATGACAACGGCGTGTTTCACATTATGAACTGTGAACTCCCAGTTGGTTTGATGTGACTCTCTGGGGCAGTAACATTTCTTAGCTGGAGCATTTAATTTCTTAGTTGTGTAGAAATCTTACATATTTCTCTTAGGTTATGGGAAAAAATTAGTTTAGGAAAAGATGTAAATGACCACTTGTGTGACATTTTATTTTCCATTATTGAATATAGATTTTATGTACATTGAAAAAATTGGTGAGAAATCCAAGAAAATTCAAGGTGATCTTGTTCTTATTCATTGCTCAGAATTCCCCAAATTTCAGAGATTTGCTTCTTTCTAGCGTTTTATATGGCACAAAACAGTATGTTTTATGTAAGCTGGTTGGGTAGTGTCTAAAGGTAAAGGTAATATATATGTATGTATGTATATATGTATATATGTAGTTATATATATAGTTGTATATATAATAAAGTTATAGATTAGCAGTGATTTATGTGTTAATATTTTATTGTTTATATTGTGATTTTAAAAGCCAGTAACTTCCTAATACTCTTAGCTCAGATTATATACCTTAATTTAAATATTTAGACCTTTCCCATAAAATTTTTAAAAGTTTCATTTTTACTTGTTATCAAATTGACACATCAGGTTTTATAAATTTGGCAGATTGAAATTTCCTCAACTACTCTCAGCCTGAAGTGATCATTTTACTTTCTAGTTACAGAGTTAGTGTATCTGCCTTTCCATTTTTACCCCATTCTGTAAAGCCCCATTACTCGGGCTGTGGTCAAAGTCTTTGTATACATTTAAGTTAAAATTTTATAAATCAGTTCCTCTTGGATACTAAATCATGAAGTACAAATTCAGTTAAGTTCTTCTAAGAGCCTCTTTGACTTATTAATATGACAAATTCTCTTAAATATTTTAAGTGCCCTAATAACAAAACATAAATTGTCACAATGATTATTAAGTAAACTGCTTCCAATCTTTAAACATGGCCCTGAGGTTTATTAATGTCCTTCTTAAGTCTACCTTCATCCAACAGAGGGGTGCCACAGTGACCTCCCTGGCCAACTTTCTGGCACCAAATGCCCCTCCAACTTGATTTTTACCCTCATCTAAGCCCTGAAACTTTTTCTGTCTTATATGGGGGTGCTTCTCTTTGGCTTATTCCTTTATCTGCAGACATTTTAAAGCTCCTTTCAGTATGACAGCTTCATGTAAGTTGGTTCTTTAGCAGTCTATTTAAACTATCTTCTTAAATTTAAATAGAACTAGTGTCAAAATTAAAAAAAAAAAATCTTACAATTAAAAATCAAACATTCATCTGGATGTAATGTTTAATAATCTTTAATCCCAGCAGAGGCAAGTGGACCTCTGTGAGTTCAGGGCCAGCCAGTGCTACCTTGTGACACCCTGTCTCCCAAAACAAAACAAAATAAAAATCAAATTGAAACTGCTGACAGAAATCTCATGGTGGCCCTAGTTTCTGCTCACATTTTCCTCCTGCTCTTCACAGAAAAGAAGAGGAGAAGCGTGGAATTGATCCCGCTCACTGCACGAATGGTGATGGCCCACCTAGTGAACCACCTAGGCCACTATCCACTGAGTGGGGGCCCTGCCGTGCTGCACAGCCTGGTCAGTGAGAACCATGACAATGCCCACGTGGAAGGTGCTGAGCTGTCCTCGGAGGTGTTCAGGAGTCCAAACCTTCAGCTCTTTGTATTTAATGACAGTACCCTCATCTCCTACCTTCAGACACCTGCAGAAGGACCAGATGGAGGGACTTCAGGGGGTTCCCTCTCAGATGTGAGAGTCATTGTGAGGGATATCTCAGGGAAGTACTCTTGGGATGGCAAGGTTTTATATGGACCTCTGGAAGGCCGCTTAGCACCCAGTGGAAGGAATCCCTCATTTCAGTTTTCTAGCTGGCATCAACACACATGCGGACCTCAGAAAGATTTGTCTCACAGTGAGGAGGGAGATGATGCACTTGACAAATTACTTGAAAACATTGGCCATACAAGCCCCGAATGCCTTTTACCATCACAACTAAATCTGAATGAGCCTTCCCCACCTCCCTGTGGAATGAACTGTGACCAGGAGAAGGAAATCATTGAGGTTATCCTGCGCCAGAGCATACAGGAAGATGAGTATGTCCAGAGGTGTGACTCTAATTCTTCAGTGAAGGTCACCAGCCAAGGGCAGCCTTCGCCCGTGGAGCCCCGAGGTCCCTTTTATTTCTGCAGGTTGTTGCTTGATGACCTGGGAATGAATTCTTGGGACAGAAGGTAACAGTGCTCTGAATGTTTCATCATTATCTCTATGTGAGGGTTCCTCTTTTTTTTATTTATTTATTTTTTTTTTTTTATCAATTTGAGGTTAAAGAATAAGAAAGGTTTTTCCATATTTCAACATTTACACATTAGAGCTAGAAACAAAACTGAATGTGCTATACTGGTATACAGATTGAACTCCAAACCTTGTCACTCCTTTAAAGCACAGGAAACATTGCTTTCCTTCCTGTGGCCCTGACACTGCTGTTTCTATTTTCATACAAGATTGCAAATGGACTGCAAAGGTGAGTAAACCACTATCTAGCCACAGGACTAATGAGGAATGTGCATTTGGTGCATCTCAGACCAAGGACAGAGTGGCACAGGAGGTCAAGAAGATCAATCTGATCCAATGGACAGTGTGGGCAGTGGCAGGGACCTCAGAGAAAGAGGGTGGGTTTGAGCTGGACCTGGTAGTGTAGTGGAGCTGTAAAGACAGAGTGGGGAAGAGATTCCCAGAGCTGACACTGAAAACAGACATAAAACATGCACACAAGGGACATACTGTTGACTGAAGAGCTTTCCAGTGTCACTAGCAGGCAGTGGGATAAAATGGAATTCTTATGTCTGTGCATCCTCAGGGATATTGGAGCTCATTTTGAAGACTTCTAAATTAGTTACTTTTCTTTTACTATGATAAAACATTATGAGCAAGGCAACCTATAGAAGAAAGCGTTGAACTTAGACATATGGTTCCAGATGCTTAGGGTTCATAGTGGCAGGAACAGCAGGTGGCAGACATGACAGCTGGACAACAGCCGAGAACTCACATATCTGATTGATAACAGGAAGCAGAGAAAGCGCACTGAAAATGTCACATGACTTTTGAAATCTTCAAGCCTGTCCCCAGTGCTAAACTCCTTCCAGTGAGGCCACATCTCTTAAACTTACCTAAACAAGACTATCAACTGAGGAACAAGTATTCAAATGCCCAGGAATATGGGGGACATCTCATTCAAACAACTACAATAACCTATCACAGTTTTTTCAGGAATGAGATAGTGGGTGGGTGGATGATGGCTGACTTTGTTAGGGTTACTATTCTGTGAAGAGAGACCATGGCCATGGCAACTCTTACAAAGGAAAGCATTTAATTGGGGCTGGCTTACAGGTTCAGAAGTTTCAGTCCATTGTCATCATGATGGGAAGCATGGTGCCACACAGACAGACGTGGTGCTGGAGAGGTAGTTGAGAGCCCCACCTTTGGATCCTCGGGCAGCAGGAAGGGAGAGACACTGGACCTGGCTTGAGTTTGTGAAACCCCAAAGCCCACCCCAGTAACACACTTGGTCCAACAAGGCCATACCTACCCCAACAAGAAGACACCTCTTCATAGTGCCATTCCTTATGAACCTATGGGGGCCATTCCTGTTCAAACTACCATAATGGCTATGTTTATTATTGGCTTAGAAAGTAGCAGAGTTAGTCTGTAGTCACATGGACTTCTTCCATCCTTTTTTTCTTTGTAGGAAGAATTTTCATTTGTTGAAGAAAAATTCAAAATTATTGAGAGAGCTAAAGAATCTGGACTCACGTCAGTGGTATGTGAACGTATACTGAAATATTTTTCCCTGTCCTTATGAGCTCATGGTATCAAATACAGCTTCAGGAAAGAAGGTACCTATAGTACCCAAAGTATTTCTGTAGCCCAGAATCTGCTGATATTGGCCTTGACTGAACACTTTGTGTTTTGTTTTGTTTTATTTTTGAGACATTAATTCTTTTAAATTGCCCAGGCTGGTCTTCAACATACTCTGTAGCTCAGGTAGGCCTTGTATAAAATCCTTGTATATAATCCTCCTGTGTCAGCCTCCAAGTAGGTGGGATCATAGGACTTCCTTTAATTTAAAAGCAAGAACAAAAACCTCCCTTGTTCTCTTTTAATTTCATGTCCTCTTTTTCATTAAGTGTTGCGTGTGTGTGTGTGTGTGTGTGTGTGTGTGTGTGTGTGTATTCTTCAATCAAGTTTTAAGTTTTCACTATATTTTATTTACTACATTTTTCTTTTATGTATGTGTGTATATGTATGTATGTAACCTACTGAGTCTGTTTAGTCTGTTTATATGTGTTTTATTAAAGGGTGACCACTTTGGAGTGATTTCTACAGTGGTTGCAATAAATAAAGCACTCCAGCCCAACATCCTCCTACCTTGTATTTATTTTCTTGATGACAACCATTTTTACTGAGATGAAGTACAATCTTAAGGCAGGTTTAATTGACATGTATGGCTAAAAATGTTGGACACTTCAGTTATTTAGAGGCCATTTGTATTTCTTTTTTTAAGAACTATCCTGTTCATGAAACTATTTGTTGATTTGGGGTTTGATGTTTAATTTAGTAGTCCTTTATATATCCTATATATTAGGCCTTGTCTGATTTTAGTTATGAAAGTTTTTTTTTCTCATTCTGTAGCTCTCTTCAGGATGGTGATTTTTTTTCCCCCTTGCTGTGCTATAAAATCTTGTGATTTTTGTATAATCCCATTTGCTAGTTTTTAGAATTATTTCCTCTGCTGTTAGAAAATCCTGGTCTATTCTTTTGTCTTGAACTATTTTCTGTTTTTCTCTGGCAACTTCAATCTAAAATGTAGTCTTTAGTCCATCTTGAATTGATTTTTAAATAGGATGAGAGATGGGATCTAATCTCATTCTTTTACATGTTAAATAGGCTGTCTTATTCTCTTGTGTATGTTTGGCATTGTTGACAAAAATTAAATAGTTGCTACTAAATGGTTTTATTTAGGTTCTTGTCCACTGGCCTGCATGTTTTTGTGTCAGCTCTGTGCTATTTTCTAAGCAGGCATTTTCAGTATCATTTGTGTTCAGGTGGATTTCTTGTGGTTTTATTGTTTATTCTTAAGTAAATGTTTGGCTTGTGTCACTATTATTTGCATATCAGGTTTATAACTGTGGTATTTTGTTGGTGGCTTGAATTCTTGAACCTAGGTATAATGATTAGTAAACTTCCTGGGATTGAAAAAGCATATGCGCACACGCACGGACACACACATACACACACCTTTAAGAGAACTTAATGGAAAAAAAGTATTTTTGTCACAACAAAAATGATACAATTTAAGGGTCTTAATTGGGCTCATTTTCTCTGCCAGTTAAAGAATTAAAAAGCAGGGAAAATCTGAAGCTCAAAGGTGTCAGCAGAGAAATCTCAAGCATCACAGACAGAATCAGCAGTTGAAGAAAGGCGCTTATTGGGGGTGAGGAAACACACATGCAGCAAACACACAGAGTAAAAGACCGTCTGCAAAGCAAAGAGAATACTTAGAAGATGAAGATCCTATCTTCTTGAGGTCTTGGAGTTTTAAAGCTTCTAAGAGTTTTCTTCCCTACTTTGGGTTGGTCAGTTTGAAGACAGATAGAATGGTTGATTGGTCTACAACTATTGTGGACCTTGAACTTGTTGAGCCGGTCTACCAGTAGTGGGCCTAATGGGAAGCAGCTGCCAGGCTTTTGTCTCAAGTCTGGAGGCTGAGGAAGAAACTATCTTTGAAATTCACTACCTTTATTACCTATCTCTTCTCTGTCTTCCCCTCCTCTCCTCTTCCCTTCTTTGTTTCCCTGTCTTTCTCTCTGTCTCTGTCTCTGTCTCTGTCTCTCTCTCTCTCTCTCTCTCTCTCTCTCTCTCTCTCTCTCTCTCTCTCTCTCTCTCTCTCTCTGTCTCTCTCTCTGACAACAAGTTTGTCTACCTCCTGGTCTCTCCAAGGAATCAGCAGATAAAATTATATTGAGCTCACTTATAACTAACTGTATGCTTTCATTCCTTCAGAAGAATTTAGAATTTAGATAGAATTAATTTATACGGACCAATATTTAGGAATCAAGAAGCTGTAGTTTTTTTGGGGGGGCGTTGTTTGTTTTGTTTGTTTCTTTCTTTTCTACCTTTCCATGTATCTTTCTCATCATTCATGGCTTCTTAGAGCCACACACATGTTAAAGCATGTAGTTGTTTTGTATGTTTTCTGAGTGTTGGGAATGTGCTGAAGTGGCTTCAGCAGCTGTGATGTGAGCCCTTTCCTCCTGGCAGCTCTACTGCTCTGCAGAGTGATAAGCATTTTAGTGTGGAGAAATAAAATTAAAAGAAAGGAAAATATACTATTTTAAAGGATTCTTTTGTGGTTGTAATTGAAGAAAGAAGCCATCGTGGGACTCCATTGGTATTTTAAATGTTTTCATTTAAGTAAAGTTTAATTTGAATTTCAAAACTGTTTTTAAAAATGCTTTAGACCCTGCTATTTCTCTGTTCAGTCTTTCCTTGCTCTCTCCAGAACAGAGACTCGGCCTCTGGAAATTCCATGAGGGATTTCTGAAGGGTTCGGGCACTTGTTTCACTCACTCTTGTCCTTCAATGTTAAACAATCATTTGGACCCCAAACCCGGCTTTTCTAGCATATGCCGAATTATTCCCTGCTTCTCCAGTGTTAAGTGAATGCACTGGTATCTTGTAATTGTAGCCAATTTGTTGAATGTTAATGCACTTTAGTTGCATGAGGTGCAATTGAATTAGCTCCCTGGGGTGCTGTTGCAGTAAAATATGGCTTTGGGTAGCTGATTGGCAATCTTCTGCCCTTTGATTAACCTTGCTTAAAACTCTGACTCTTGGACTTATGTGGTCTCCGCCTCTAAATGCACATCAATTTATTCTATGGGAAAGGATAGTTTTCAAGATTGCCTTTTAAAAACCTGAACTAAGTCTGGTGGCTCTTTACCTGTAAGAAATCTAGCCTGTGCCATACCAAACAAGAATATACCTTGTCCCTCAACTTTCAGGACATTTCTATCTATTTCCACATCAATTTATATCACTTGTGGGGGAGCCTTGCTTTCTTCACGTGTTTTGAGGAAAAAAATAGTATTGCAGCTAGGGTCTGTATACTGTGTGTGATGGCTGGACATACAAATCCCTGGGGACTTTCTTGCCACTGTGTGGTAAAGGAAATGGTGAAGTCATGTTTTCCTGTGTCTATTCCTAATAAGAAAGAAAAATGCATCTTAATGAGGAAGGCTGTGTTGTTGATTTTATGTATGTGTGTTCCTGAATTACCTACTCCTTCATGCGCTGGTTGTGCAGCTTGTAGATATGAAGTGCTGTTGATGTTGTAATTACCATTTCAAAAGCCTCACGCTAATAAGGCCAGGCACAGTGTCTGCATCTTAGCAGGCTCTCTGCAGTGCTAATATTTTGGAGGATGTGAAATTTGATGAATGTTTACAACTAAAGGTCACCTTTCCTCACACCCACATCAGTCAGTCCTTCATTTGAGCTGAGCCCTCTGTGCTCCTACACTGAGTAAATAGGACTCAAGGACCCAGGATGGAAAAATCCTGGGCTTTAAGGATAAAACACTGAGGTATTTCAGATAAACCTGAGGTTGTTTTTTTGTGTGTGTCAAATCTATAGAACAGAGAAAAATTGAATGCTACGGACTTTTAAGTATGTAGAGAAAGTTTCAGATAAAAATCAAGTAACTGTTTTTGTTCTTTTGTTGAAACAACCTTTTAGGTAAAGGTTAGGATGTCTGCTACCATAATCTAAGCTTCCAAATAATTACAGCTCCTGTGATAAGCCAGTCATATTGTAGGGGACCTTTCTTGTTGACCCTTGCCTATTTCTCAGGGCAGTTAATGATATGGCAATTTCTAGACTCAATAAGATCTTGGCAAAGGATTTCACAGCCCTTGTCAGATTCATCACTTTAAAAAAGAACAACAAAACAAACAAAAAACCAGCGCCTCTCTTCATTTCCTTAAGTGGTGGAAAACTACGTTGTTTGTTTACATGTTCAGATTGAGAGTTCCTGTATTTTCTGATTCTTCTTCATATACATTTATTCCATGAGAATGATGGGGGGGGTGGATAGCTAATAAATAGGAGAGAATGCGCCTCCTCCTACTGTGATTTATGTAACTTTTTGGTTGAGCTCCAATTAGGCTTGTTTAATAATTAGAAAAATAATCACGAAGAAGGAAATATTTGAAAATTTGTTAAAATATGGAGTCCAGATCTACCAATTTGAATGTCTAATCATATTACAGTGTTGAGATATTAAACAATTAGACAGTAGAAACATTTCCGTATTGTTGAAGCACTTTATGCTTTTTCCTATGCAGTTTTTCATGATGTGATGTGAATGTGAGAAGGGTGGGTCTGCCCCCGGAAGTGGAGCTCTAATTCTTTTACCATTGAGGCTATAATAGAACAAAGCTTGTTGACAATGGTGTTGTCAATTGAGTGGTTCTTGATTAAGCTTCATCTGAACAGTAGTTGAGCGTTTATCTCCAAACTGTCACCAAGTTGCTTGGTAGGGTTCCAGTTATTTTAATATTTTACTTCACAGTATCATTTGTAGAAACTGGCGATTACACATTCAGATATACTGTCATGTATCTGGTCAATTTAACAGGCTTAGCTGAGCCTGTACTATGTACCAAATATTATACTAGATGTGGAAAGAAAGAAAAAAGATGAATAAACAGGTCTCCTTTCTTCAAAATGCATATCATGTTTACATGTTTAAACAGAAAACTGCCACAAGTCTATCATGGAGCAAGGAAATAAAGAGTTTATATATCCAAAGAATCTTCCCAAAACAACTGTCTGCTATATTTGGTGCCCTCAGAATAGTCAGAACACATCCTTTCACAAAGGAAATACCTAAATGTTTACATTTCTCATAAAGTCTTGGGATGTCTCATCACTCTAATCTTACACCTGTCCATATTTTCCTTAAAATGTAGATACCTACTTATAATACATGTCTGTTTGAAATGCTTTAGAGTAGTGAGTGGTTCTCAACCTTTCTAATGTGATTTTTTAATACAGTTTCTCATATTGTGGCGACCCAACCATAAAATAATTTTTGTTGCTACTTCAGAACTGTTTTGAGTCAGAAAGTAAGTATCTGATATGTGGGATATCTTGTGTGTGACACTTGTAAAAGTCATTTGACCTCAAAGGGGTCACAACCCACGGGTTGAGAACCACTGCTTTAGCAGATATGTTCTTCACCAAGCATGGGAAGAACCCGGTGGATGATGTGCTCTGATAACTGTTTTCGTGTCTCCAGTGTCTGAAGTGTGGTCTCCTGCTTCATTAGCCTTTGTCTCCTTTCAACCACCTCTGCAAAGCAGATGATACAATAACACTGGTCTTAATTGGGGGCCTTTCAAAATGCAAATAAGGTCATGCATCAACCACCTTAGAATAGTGGCTGACCCCTACTGAGTGCCATTAGGAGTCATGCTGGCAATACAGTAAAATAAAACTTTATATATATATATATCAATTCTAACACCTTTAAATTTAAACATTTATAGCCGTGAGACACACAAGATAGCAGTGTTTTACATTGCTGAAGGGCAAGAAGACAAGTGCTCCATCCTAGCCAATGAAAGAGGAAGCCAAGCTTATGAAGACTTTGTTGCTGGTCTTGGATGGGAGGTAATTAACCCCATTCATTATGTGGTTGCTGACTATAAGTATTTAAAGCAGACATGAGTTGTATGTGTTCTTAGGTATATTTTTATATTTAGATGTAGTATGCATAGAGTTCTTGAAGAATGTGTTGACCTTAAAATCTGTTTGCTTTTCAATATTCTATCTGTGGATGTTTGCTTCCCCTTTTCATTTGCTTCAAATCAGAACTGAGTAGTCACATGGCCTCAACTAGCCATGGGTGGTAGTTTGTGCCTAAAGAAGACAAATGTTGCCACTGGGGATCTGAGAGAAAAAAAAAATAAAAGCAATAACTTGGTAGCTGAAAACTTAACAAGGACCAGGATAAAGTGAAAAACTGGAACTAAAATGTAGTTGACTGTCACTGTTGTTCCCTAATGCACAACTTCAGAATGAATGATAAGGATTTGGTTTTCTTTACTGAAAGCTAAACTAATGGATATATACACAGAGACACATACCTGCCTCCTGTGAACATAACTCTAGAGGAAAGCACATCCCTAGAATATGAAAAGAAGTGAGAGTGGTCCAAATAGAGAAAATACTGTTTTCTTCTTCCTCTTGTTTTTGGTTTCTCAGCTGTCTGAGTTATCTGTGTTAGGGAAGCCTTGGCTGCATAAGAACAACTTTTCTTCCAAGAGTCCAGTCTTAGCAAGGGCATTGCAGATGGCATTAGGGCAGAGTTCTACATCAAGGTCAAGTCCATGCTCTTTCCAGAAAGTCCAAAAGCTATTGCACTTGCAGTGAACCACTCTTGCTAGTAAAGTTAGGATACATGTTACTTAGTTAGCTTGTGTATCATTTTTTTTGAACCATGCCTTCTCAGCCAAGTTCAAGGAAACAACTAGAAGAGGGTTGGGAGTGCACCTCAATGGTAGAGAACTTGTCTGGCATACTCAAGGCCCCAAGTTCCACCCCTAGAATCACAGAAAACAAAAACAGGTTAAAGGTTGGTTATATTTGGAACAGAGAAATTTTCTATTTCGTGTTTGTTAAAAATTGACATTTTTATTGAAAAAAATAATAGTTTATGGCAAGTTAAAAATTTAGATCTAATCACTAAGAAGGAAACTTCTGTAGACTGATGGCTGTGTTGTCAACTCAAGCAACCTTTTGAAAGTCAGGTTAATAATGACTGCTAAACTGTGTCACATCTGTTTTCCTTAGCCCATATAGAAACACTCTTTTGAGTGCCCCTTCAGTTTGAGAAGGCAGAAAGTCCCACAGATGCATCAATGAAGAAACATTCCGTGTGTGTGTGTGTGTGTGTGTGTGTGTGTGTGTGTGTGTGTTCATACATAGTAGTCCCAGAGTCTAAGAGTAACGGTGTTGGCAATATGGATATGCCAGACACCATAAAGTATTTTCAATAATTGAAGAGGTCAAGGTACAGTAGAATACATTTGAAAAAGATACCACATTCGTGTAACTCTTATTACATCAGACTGTTAGATATGTTCTCTTTTTTAGTTAATTACTTACTTGTCTAAGGGATAAATTAAACTTTATTTTAGGTCTTTATATGGAGAAAAAAACATAGTACTATTTGTGGTTATAAATAACTGCTGAAGTCTTGAGACAAACACCGCCCCTCCTCCCCAGATAAGAGGGGCCAGCTATATAGACATATGCAGACATGTAGATACCCTAATACATGAGGGGGAGAAGTTAGAGAATGTGCACCAAAAACCAAGGGGATTTTTTTTTTTTCTTTTGGTGTATGGGTTTTGTGTGTATGCTGTGCATGCTGTGGATCCAAGCCAGGCAAGCACTTAAATTGTCAGACAGTCCTTAAATTTTGATAGTGGGGCTGGGTGGTAGTGGTGCACACCTTTAATCCCAGCACTCAGGAGACAGAGGCAAGTGGATCTCTGTGAGTTCAAGGCCAGCCCTGGTCTACAGAGTGAGCTCCAGGATAGGCTTCAAATCTACACAGAGAAACCCTGTCTTGAAAAAAAAAAAAAAAAAAAATTTCTTTTGATACTGGTTTTCATGTAGTAGGGTTACAGACCAGTTTCATTTTTTATATTCTCCATTCCTTTCTTTAAAATTTTAATTTTGTATAACCTATATTTATTTGTAATCAGAAAGAAATAAAGTAAAAACAGTTCATGTTTTCAACTCATATTCCTGCCTAATGAATAGAACAGCTCAGTTTTGACCCTTACCTTTTGCTCTGTGACCTTCATCAGGTGGATCTCTCAACCCACTGTGGGTTCATGGGTGGTCTTCAGCGCAATGGCAGCACAGGACAGACAGCCCCTTACTATGCTACCTCGACTGTGGAAGTGATTTTCCATGTTTCCACTCGGATGCCATCAGATTCAGATGATTCACTCACCAAAAAGGTAAGGCAGCTCCTCGGGAACAGCAACTATCTGCACTCATATGCAAGTGAGGCTCTCTGGGTCTGGATGATGACCACGCTGTGGTACAGACTGATTGAGGCTGCTTTCCCCAGGCCTCAAAGTCAGTGTTGCTCTTCCTCCAGCTGCAATTGTATTGAATCTAAAATGCCAACTTAGCGCCTCCTGAAGTTCTGAGGTTAGGGACTAGTGAGAAGGGTATGCAGTGTGGCTACTTATGTATCTTCTTCCATGTTAATTACCTGAGAGAAAATAGTTTTACCTCACAGACTGGCAAAGGCCACAACACATGATGGCTGCTATGACAAAAGTCCTGGTAAGGATCTGGTAGGAAAGCATCCCCTCCACACCCCAAGGATATTAGAGTGAGCTACCAGATGTGGCAAAGTGACCTGCAGATGTGTTGCTGCCCAGATGTCCTACCTTGGCTATTTCCCCTTGTTTCTCCCTCACCTTCCACCCTCCGGGTAGTTTCCTCTGAAGTTCAAAGGAAACCTTATGTCCACAGAGGAATTCCACTGAGGAGATAGGGCCTTGAACTCCCCAGCCAGCAGAATGTTTACTTTAGGGGGCCCAGTTTTAGACGAGAACACGTTAGTGGGAGAAAAATGTAGTCTTGTAAGAAAACCGCTGCTGTAAGTTTCTAGATAAAAGGAACATTCTAGAGCAGCGGTGATTTGTACTTCCCCTGTGGGCTAATAGATGACAGAGTCTACATTCCCACTTCACACCCACTTTCCTCTAACAGTGCAAATATAAGGAAATGAGGGCAGTACCTCAAGTGCTGGCGAAGGCTGCACAGGAGGAGTGTGGAGCTAGGGCCAGACAGATCTAGGCCCAAGTGTGTGTCTAGCTGTTTTACCAGCTTGTACCTCAGTTTTTCATGTATTAAATAAAATTAAAAATGGAGTCTGTGGCACAGTACTGTTAAGTGAGACAGTGCCTGAAAAAGTTACTTAGCATGATACCTCTCTGACCATCGCCCTTGTCATTGTCCACTGGTGTAACTGATTCTTTTTCCTTGTCCCATTAGCCAGATGATTGATATTAGTTCATGGACCCTACTGTATCTGCTTCATTTCTTTTGTCTCTGGTTTTGCCTTTTCACCACTGTAGCCACAGATGTCAGGACTGCACACATGATGAACAACAGTGCATGTGAGACATCATCAGAACTCGGGTCACAGACGATTTCCATAGTGATCGAGTGTCTCAGATGCACAAAGCACAATTTGCATTCAGAAACTCAGCAGCCTTTCACCCGCACAGCCCTGCGTACTTCCCTGGCCTCCCTAGGCTGGGAACCTCACAGCTAGTGGGAATGCTAGCCATGTGCTGGTTCCCACAGGTGTGAAGGAGCTGCCTGCCCATCTTGGGTTCTGATGACTGCAATGTTCACAGAAAGGAGGGCCTTGCTGTCTGGTAGCTCACTGATGTCCCAGAATTTGGGGTCACTTACCTAGGCTGTACTCACTTGAATTTCTTAAATTTGGGACACCTTGTAAAGTCTACTTACTCTGCATATTGTCACCATATTCTGTGGTGTGTGTGTGTGTGTGTGTGTGTGTGTGTGTGTGTGTGTGAGTGTGTCTGACAATTATGTGTTAAAGATAGATTTGCATATAAACTGTTAAAGTATTTCTTAAGTAGAGAGGCTCTTTAAATTTTGTTTCTATACTGTTTTCTTTACATAATGCTGCTATAAATAATGTCCCAGGGCTTTGTCTGAATGAGTTATTCCCCACTGTAATAATCAAAAAGCAGCTGATACCTTTTGTGGCTCCAAGATTTAACATCATTGATGATAAACTCTCTTTTACCAGGATGTCTCGTAGTTAAGCAGAAAACTCAGTCACATAATGGCAGCCCCTGGTTCCTTGACTTGCTCTAAGTAAATTGTCCCTAACAGCTTAAAAATGAGCTGCAAAATTCTAAAATGATCCATGCTCTGTTCTGCCCTTGCCATGGGGGTGGGGGGACTTTGCAATTCTGCAATCCTGTTGCAACCCCATACTGAACTCTTGATCCCTCACTGCAGAAATTTGTTAGCTCTAGCTAGATTAGATTTTTCACAGCTAATCTAACTGCTGTAGGGGTTTGCAGAGTGGGGACAGAGCTGTGCTATTGGATTTGTCCAATTCATTTGACTCCAGGACTATAATTGCACTTATGTCTTACAAGGCTTTTATAGCCCCAGGCTGGCCAGCCACATGAAAAACAAATTGGCAGTGATACAGTGCAAGTGAAAGGGGATGAAAGGCCCACATTATCAGTCTCTAAGCAGCTCTGCTCTGGCAGGAAGTTTCTTGGTTAATTTACAAATAAAACTTAGATTTTAGGATGGGCACACTGTCAGTTGAACAATGGGGGATGTCAGGCCTGACTGTTACTTAGTAAAAGTAGCAGCCGGGCCCACTGAGGAGCCCGGATTCTTCAATCAAACAGACGACTCCTTCTGGAGCCAGCTGGCGATGTAATGCAATTAGTTGGGAAAGGAGGTCAGCCTATTAGGTGTGGACCATGACCGGTGTCACCGGTGGCGTGCAGGCGTGCAGCCTGGCAGCAGCAGGCTGAACAGCTCGGGTAGAGGAGCTATAGTACTCTGTCAGGACCAAGGATGGCAAGACATGGGATTGATTTCTTGAGGCTCAAGAGCCTGTTTGTTCTGGGCATCATAAGCCTTGAGGCCTCTGGAGTCCGTTGCATAGTGGAAGCAGAAGCCCCCATGAATGCAGCTCCTGTTCTAGCTCCCATCTCTTCCTAAAGACATATGCCTCCTGTCAGAATGACTTGTCCCCATGTAAACTTGTGGGTGACATTGAAATAGAAATCTCCTTTGAATTGAGTGCCACTTTAGGTTTCTAGAATATTCCATTTTGTTCTGATATGGGTAGCTATGTTATGCTTTGATGTGTATAGCTTGTCCACACCAGTTTTATTTATTTATTTTTTAACATATTTGGCTTCTTATTATAGGTGCAAGAAGGTATAATTTTTGTACTTTGTTCCAGATGTATCAGTCAATTGGTCCCATGGCCTTGGCTCTTGGTTTTGCGGTTTAGTTAATTAAACTGTAACATGTCCAGAAGTGTGAGATGTGTGACACTGAAGGCAACTCTGAGGTGGTGAATATTACAAAAATAGCTCTTCCTTAATTGCAGAATTGCCACACTGGGAAGAAGGGTCAATTAGTGTGGCACTGCTCTCCTTTGCTAGAGTTTTCTCAGAGTACTGCTGCAAATAAAATTAGGAGGGGTTTATTGGGGTTATATAATTGAATAACACAATTTAGAAAGGGGCAAAGTAACTGCAAATTTTCAATAATCACTGTACCATTCAGAGAGAGCACTGTACGCTGCCCTTGTGCATGAGAAGAAGAGACTGTAACTATTAGGTGTGGCATTGGGTGGTAGCACCCAGCTTGGTATTTGGTAAGTGGGTTGTCTGCATTTAGTTTCTTCTGCCAGCATCATAACAAAGAGTACAGGGCCAGCTCTCTTTGTAGGTTAAGGGCTGTAAGCTGAACTCCAGAACAGCCCATTTCCTACTGTTAGCTCTTATTGCCCCAAATCCCTCCCCAAGTTTCAATTAGATCTAGTCTACATTTACCATGGAAACCTGTCCATATTTTTTTGTTGGCAACCCTAGCTCTCATGCTGTCACTACAGAAGGACTAAGTGGCAAAACAGTGTCACAAGGCCTTTGGAAGCTCTGTTAGGAATGGGAAACACAGACAGGCAGAACAGATAAGAATGTCTGGAATGTAACTCAGATGGGAGAAGTGTAGGGCATTGTATACACTAGGCTCTAGGTTTGATCCCCAGGACTGTGAGAAGACAGTGCACTAGAGGGACACCTTCAGCTAGGAGAATTTGGCGCCTTAAAAAGAAAAGAAGAGAACAACAAAAGCTTTGGCTATGCTACGGTCTTTTTTTTTTTTTGCCTGCTACCCTGTGAACCCTTAATACAGCGTCAGGGTAATGATGGAGTGAGGAGAAGAAGAAAAAAGATGCACTGGATTATGGTTGCATTTAGAAAGTTGTTGAGTCCATTAAGTTGTTCTGGATCACCGTGACTTGCGCTAGGCCGCCAGTTGCCCCTGGAGCCACTATTCAGACACAGTTGAATCACACACCTTACTCCATAAAGGCACAGGTGCAGGTCTCTTTGTAGGTTATTGATGCATACAGTCACTTCCAGGAGTACTTCCAGGAGTAGAAAATCAGCAGGCACTGCAACAAGCAGCTGCCTTTGTAACTGGATGGCTGGAAAAGCGGCCATGCTGGGGTTACCTTAGGTTTTTCCCTGTATGATCAAATGGTCTCTAAAGAAAATTGTATCTATGATAACGTGTTTCAAGTATGCACTATTCCAGAATATATATATTTTTTTTTTGTATTTTAAAGGCAAAACTTAGAATATAAGCTCTGACATAACATCTCAGTTTTATTAAAATACTTTAAAGTTTGGTCACTTGTACCTTCGTCTGTTACATAAGCAATGACCCTGTCCCTGATGCTGGATGACATTTTCTGATCCGAGGCAGAAACCTCATTCATTCCCCCAAAGCTTCTGAGCCCTGGCTCTGCCAGTCTTTCCATCTTCTGCCAGTGTTCCCATCACTGTGGTCTGGTTTCCTTTTAGTTATGCATCTAAGCTTTCTCAAGTGATTTCTTTGCAGTTTTCTCCAGATTAGGTTGGTGGGATCACCACACAAGAAGTTGATTAGTGATGTCCTTGCATCTAGCAAAGGTTTGCTCTGGAAGAGCTTGTAAGGGTCCTTGAAGACCTTCCTAAGGCCTCCTCAGAGACACTGAGAGACTCTGGGGGGGGGAATTGGAGTTTATAGTTTATTTATAAAATGTCAAGAAAAAAAAAGTGAGCTAAACTACTTGAGCTATAACAGTAAAATAGATTTTGATGTAAGCTAAGATCAGGAATGTTCAACTTGCAGCCCCAGATAGCTATGAATATAGCCCAACACAAAACTGTAAATTTACTCAGAACAGTATGAGATTTGTGTCTGTGTGTCTGTGTGTGTGTGTGTGTGTGTGTGTGTGTGTGTGTGTGTGTGTGTGTTCGTTCTCATAGCCTGTGGGCCACAGGTTGGGTGTCCCTGGCTTAGATAATCATGAATGGAGGCCATAGTCTCTGGCCCTCTCTCCCATACTGTTCTATCACTTGGCAGAGCATTCCAGAGCAGGCACTTCTTGTAAGATAAAGTAAAGATGGAGTCACACAAAGTCAGTGGGAAGGGTAAATGACATTTTATGTTAACACTTTGGAAATCTTTAAATGCTAGGTGCCAGTATTTCCACCAAATTTAAGTTTTAATTTAAATTAAATATGTTTATTTCCTTAAAATATAATTGTTTATATTCTTTTTCTCAGAAATTTATCTCAAGATCAGTTTCTCACACATTTGTCAACAATTGTGTTGGAAGAGCTTGTGCTATCTTACATTGTTGTTTCTTAATAACCCCCTGGATGAAGAGGCTTAAAGTTTTAAAGTAATAAAGGCCTAAAAAAAAGTTACTGTCATTTAGTTATTGAGAGACATTCTCTGCACTATAGCACAGGACTGATGTAGAATAAATAGAATCCTTGAAAAAAAAAAAAAAAAAAGAGACCTTAAAGATGTCTCTCCATCCCACTGGAATGTGATCTTAGAACCAAATGTGCATCCTAGCAGTTGGGCTGGAGTTTCATGAAATTCTGAGTCCTCACATAAGGCATCAGTGTATTAGCCTGATTTGGGACTAAAATACTTTTGGCCTCCGAGTTTTCTAATTCAATTTGTAAGCCACAGCCCCTCATAAACTGTTGTTATCACCTTGGTTAATCAAGAGCCAATTTGCTATTGCAGCTCCGTCACCTGGGGAATGACGAGGTCCACATCGTCTGGTCTGAACACTCCAGGGACTACCGCAGGGGCATTATCCCAACAGCTTTTGGAGATGTTTCAATCATTATTTACCCAATGAAGAATCATATGTTCTTTATCACAATAACAAAGAAACCTGAGGTATGTTCCCTCCATTGTTGCCCTGACTCCTGAGTTTTCTATTGCATTCCCTGTCCTCAAAAACTGATGAATGTCCTACACATATCAGAATTGTGTGTGCTAGATAGGAATTTAAGTGAACTATGATTTTCAAAAGAACTCTAATCACAAGCACAAAATTCCTTATTGTATTATTTGAAAATTAAGTTGGAGAAATACATGGGGTTTTAAATAATTTTAATGCTTTAAAATGTTACCATTTTAAGAATATCATAATTTTTTAACTGGGGCACATTATTAATAATAAGACTTGATGGAGTTCCATTATCACATGGTTATTTGGGAAATAACCATGAGTCTGGAATTCAGCCCTGTCTGATGCACGGGTATCGGTCACTGAGCCCTGACTGGTGATGACTGAGGTCAATCCTGAAGGATTTTGGACATGTTCACAAAGACATTGGGGCCCTGAAGCACAGCCCACACGATGAGTATTAGCAATCAAAGCACCGTACTGCAGAATCAATTCAGCCATGTCAATTGGTATTGATCACAGGGTTGGCTGGAACAATCCAATGGTCTATGTCCCGTGTGCTAATCAGCTGCAGTTTCGATCCTTGTCATGCCTTTACTGGTATTTTAACACTGCTTTGAGTAGTGATTTATTTTACTTTTAATTCATTAAGATGTGTTCTTAGGTTTGAAATAAAACATATTAAGCATATAAGCCATTCTTTAAGACAACAAAGACTCTTGTTTTCAGCTTGATATTAAATACAATATTTATTTACATCCCAAAATCGTTTTCCTGAAGGAGCTCATTGTTATTCTAAGAACTTTTTTAAACTTTAAAAAAAAAAAGTCTTGAGATTTGTTGTTTTAATTCATTTTTGTAACCTAAAGTTACATTGTGAGCATTGAATGTGGTAATAAGTGAAAAAGTGCTTCAGACATTGTCTGGCACCATGGTAAAAGCTGCTTCTCTGTTAGCCATTGTTATTGTTATGGTTGCTATCAGGATTTTCTCATATAGTTACTGTCACAGAAATAAAATCAGTAGAGTTCTAAGTTCTATGTTCTATGTTAATTCTCCAATGTGTGGGCTTTATCCATCTAGGAAAGCCTCATTAAGAAGAGAGTTTTCTCTCTGTTCATAGAGAGATGTCAGAATTCATATTAGATATTTGTGTTTCTCTGATTCAGACCCCTGTGTATGTCAGGTTCTCAGTTTTCTGCTGGAAGAAAATGGCTCAGTGCTAACATTCGCCTTTGTCCACAAAGAGAATTACTTACAAGAATTAAAGGATAATTTTAATCTTAGAGAAGCAATAGATTTAGTCCTTTTAGCTTTCAAAGGTTTTTTTTATATATATGTAATATAGAACTAGTTTTATTAGTTCATTTTCAGGATGATCCTCTAAAATGTCATAATGTCCTTAAAATGTCCCCGTTATTATTTAAATGAATGAAGAACATGAAAAGCATTTCATTTGACTCTGCTGTGTCAAAAGTGACATTTCTCAAAGTAGAATAAAATGTATAAAAAGTCACTAATATACTTTTTAAATTTTCCTATAAAATATGTTTAAGATGAACTTGGTCATCAATTCTGACAAGATGAATTGAAAAAATTGGTTTCTTAGTATTTTAACTCAAAAAAGCCCAAAGAGAAGAAGAGAATAATAGGGCAACTGAAAACTTAGTGTTATCCCTACATTTAAAGTACAAACCATTACAATGTAATAAAATTAATCCAGACATTTCCAGGGCAAGTGTAGCTGACCTTTTGTTCACCAACCACTGACCCCAGGGTGAATGCAAGAGGCTTTGGGAGGGAAAGTCTGTTTGTTTGGCTTCAGTCCCTGGTATTTAAATTGCATTCCCTAATCAAATGAAAAGGCTGTCCTCTCTATCAGGTTACAGAATCCATGGCAACATTTGGCCTTTTATATCCATAATGTTAGCCTTTTTGTTTGCATCTAAGTAGAGACACCTGGAGCAATGCTAACATTAACCGATTTAGCATTAATAGCTTCATTATATAAGAATTTCTGATCAGATAGCTGTTACTTTTGTTATATTGCTTCAGCTTGTATTGTTGTCATTTTTTATCTCCTTGCTTGGCAACCAGGCAATGATTTGCAAATTTTTTTGTCTTGATTAATTAAGCAATATAATTATCAGTAACCGTGATGCAGTCTTTGCTCAACAAAGCTTCTGAGAGAAAACAATGGTAAGTCTGTTAGTATGAATGCATTCCACGCGTCCCAGATGCATGAGGATATTATGGACAATGAGGGGAAAGGCCGCCTGTGAGCGAGGACAAAGGGTGCCACGCAGACTCGACACACTGCACATACCGCCAGGGACATGCTGCGGGCTCCCTGGGACACAGACGCCTCGTTAGATTACAGCTAGTCAGCAGAGATTAATTCTCATCCATTTGGCGCAATAATTTACCCATTCCCCAGTCTTTTAACTAGTGCTGCTTACTATGGTTCTAAAGGCTTTGTACTCAAAAGGTTTGCTTAACCTTGGCTACTTTTAGGTATCGCCACCAAAACCATTAATTTTGTTTAGAGCTCGTACTGACACAGCTGCTTGAGTTGAAGAATATTCCTGTAGGAAGACAGACTATGCAAATGTTTCAGAAATTGTAGGTGGAGTCAACAGCAGTATTTTAAGCACCTGTATATTTCATATGAATACAGTGTGACTCTGGCCTAAATACATTTATTTTACTCATTTCTGGACATCCATACATCTCTAAGAATAATTTTAATCCTTTTTAGAAGGGGGGAAAACTCATCAGTACACAAAAGTCCTGCTCATTGGACAGAGTCATGCATATTCAAATTGTACTTTCATTCACTTGGCCTCATTAATAGCCTATGTAATAATGTGGGGCTATTTGTAATACAAGCTCACAGGCACATTACTTCCAAGTCCTTTGAAATTTAACATATTTCGCTTTTTCATTCCATACACCCTCTTTCAATATACAAATTATGTGCCTGGCAGAATCCGCCCCCTCTTAATGACGCCCCGCATTTGTAAAATGGTGCACTGAAGAAGCAGCGTGGGTGTGTCCCTGTGAGCACACAAAACCCTCGCGCTCAGAGGGCTGCTCACTTTACAACAGTGTATGAAACAAAAAGCAAAAACGTTGTGCTTTGCAGCACTATTTCATTGTTAAGTTCTTCTCCAAATAAATCCATCCCCATCTCCATAAATATTGACACAATACAGTTGTGGTCATATAAAAAAAATATGTTTTGATCAGTCAGCCATTCAGGAAAGACATGCACCTAAGACAGTGAGTTACTTAAAGGGTATGTGAAGCTCTTTCTTTGCCTTACCTTTTCTTAAGTTTCCCTGACTGTCCTTGGGGTGCTGTTGAAGTGGTATCTGGCTCTCTTTCAGCTTCAGGGTTTTGTGAGGTTGAGATACATGTATGCGTGCAGATGTATAGGAATGTATCCCTCTTCCAGATGATGCCCAGCTCAGGACCTCTGTCTGGTAGCAAGCACCTACAAAATGCCAGCAGAAGACTAATGTGCCAGAAGGTACAAGAGCATTTAAGCTCATGAGGCTAAGAGGAGTCCAGTCTGAGCATCTGTGCTTCTGCAATGAAATGTTTTAAGCATGCTGGAGTTGCCCCATTATACGGGGAGTGTGTTTGCCTTTGCTGCATGGTTTTGTAAATTTCTCTTGATTTCATATTATAGTTTCTTAAACATTTATTGTTATCCCAGTCAGATAATCCTTTGGAGATTCATTCATTCACTTTAAAATATTCCGGAGAATTCTCAAGAAAGTAAATTAACTTTGGAAAATACTAAGAATTATTTACTTAGAAAAGATCATTGAAAATACCAAAGAACCAGGTTTTATTAAACTAACTTATTAAATGGATGGCTGCAGTGTTGCATTTAGGTCATGTATTATTAACATTGATTTTAGTAAAGAAGTGGCAATGGGAAAAGGCAGCTGGTTGTAGGTGCTGTTTTAAAATCAAACTTTTGCTAATACACTGGCACTGCTAATTAGAGGAATTTCCTATATAATATGGATTTATATTATCCCCGCTGTCCTGTTTTTGAAAGATTGAGTCACCCACAAGCAGGTGCCAAAGAATAGAGGACATTTATTTTACAAAATGGCCTTGATACAGACAGAAGAAAGCCCACAGTGGCACTATTAACTTACCTCTTACCACTAAGGAATTTGGCTTTTGAGATCTCCTTTTCAACTAAATTTCCCCAAAAGTTGGTACCATTCTCTAGTTTTTTATTTAGTCCTTGACATACTTGTCTTCCTCTTGTGGGCTTATCTTCCCTTCTTTGTTGAATGTTCACCAAATAGCAAACTGGCCCAGTCTTTGTATGAGTAAGCAATGCAGCTCTCATTCTCTCCTCCTGAGCTGTCATGGTAGGAAGGACACGTTGACCCAGGAGAAAGGACATCTCTGTGCCCTTCCTTGGGCAGCTTCCTAAGGTCCAGCACATGGGTGCATCCCTGCTGGCCTGACAAGGGGTGTTGGTAGTGTGCTGGCCTCCACTGTGGAAGGAAACAGCCTACTGCCTAGGAGGTATATTTGCTAGACTAAACTCAAAATTTCGTACTTTTTTTTTTTTTTTTTTGTTTTTTTTTTTTTTTTTTTTTTTTTTTTCTATGTTGCTATCCTTTATTTAGTACAGGCATACCAGGAAGAAGGATGGCTTACTTTGTGTGTGTGTGGGGGGGGGGAGGGAAGAGGGAGAGAGACAGAGAGAGACAGTGTCTCACAGAAATCCACCTGCCTCTGCCTCCCAAGTACTGGGATGAAAGGCATGTGCCACCACACCTAGACAAGAACACTTACTTATTAAAAAAATATATTATAAATAAACTTACAAAGCATATTGCTAAAGATAGTAGGAAATTGTTCTTGTTGTTCTTTTTCTGACTTTGCTTTGGTTTTGTTTGTTTGTTTAGGATTTTGTTTTGGGGAGGGGTGTGTTTGTCCTTGATATCTGCTT